CAACTAAATGTTGCTTAAGGTCAGTGTAGCAATTCCTTTCAAATTTATGTTTAAAACACCTCAATTGAACCAAATCGATATTTTCGTAGAGATATTGTCTGCCTTCTTTGTTTGACTTTAGTGGCATTTAATAAATTCTTGGTCTCCTTTTTTACTTTAAACAAGTTTAAATTGTTTCTAATTCTTTTCAAATTTTGTATATAACTTTTTCCAGATACATCAGAAGAAGAAGTTGGAGGAGGAGGAGAAGAAGAAGAAGAAACATTGTAATAGACTTGGCTTTCTACCATTCACTATCTTCAATCATGATTAGTTTCTATTCAAACATGACTTAATCAGTCATTTCTGGGAGATTGAGGACATGGTTACATATTGTAATAGACGTGATTTTCTATATGCAATTTGAACAAAAACTTCTTTCTTTTTTTTTGCAACTGTTGCACATTTGAACTGATGAACTCCTATAAATGAAAGATTTTAGCATTACCAGTAAGATGTTTGGCGTATCTTCCATTCAAAATTTGTTTTGTCAATCAAGCATCGTCATATGTGCTGTTTTTATATTTTGTTTCAAATTTTTTTGAACATGACTAGATTTACGTTAGTTGCATTCTTACTTAATTTTTTATGGTAAAAAACCACAGAGTGAACAAAACCTCAGGATTACTTAGCTTGATATACTTTCATCACAGCGATGAAATCCAACTGAAAACTGATTTCTATTTTTTATCCTTTTGTAATCCGCCTGCATATTGGTGTGATGCTCTTTATTGGCTCAGAAGTGATACAAAGTGAGAAGAGGATATAGTCATTATTTATCACAGACTGCTCATCTTTCATATTTTGTTGTGAAGTTTGATGTGGTCGGGAGATTTATCATCGAAGGTACCAATTAGTTGAAGTTCAATTATATATCTTTTAGTTCTTGCAATGTTTTAAATAAGACGTAAGGGATTAGCTTCTAATTCTTTCTCTAAATGACCAAAGAGAAGATTGAGGTAGTAGTTAAAAATCGACTCTTTCTTTTCCATCCCACCACCCTATTAGGAGGATCAACAGTGTTCTCACTAACCCTTCAACGTACACTCAAACCAGACTACCGATTAATGGTGGAGATGTTCAACCACTTGATCATGCCTAACTTGTATGAATTTTCTTTTCAGGGGTTCCCTATATGAATTTTGATTGTGGATATAAACTTTTTTCTTTGAGGGCAACTGCTGTATTTTTCAAGTATTGATCATGGTACTCCAACTTTGAGACAAAAATACCTCATGTGTGTCTAGAAACTGGAAGGAAAATCGCAACCTTTTAGGAACATTGTCACCATGACCATTTAATCCTACCTTATGATCCCCAAAAAAGTCTGATAGAACTTTCCAGATTTATAAGTTAAAAGCTAAAAATCATGTTGAGAACCCTCTGTTTGATGATATTAATTTTATTTTGATGTAATGGAAAATGGGTTATCCCGTAGAAGATAAATTCTATTATATCTTCCTAAGACATATAGTCTCTTCTCTTAGAAAACCATGAAAGATGAAATAGCCAGAGTATATAATTTCCTGACATGTAAGTGTAATTTCTTTGAAAGTTAGTTCAAGCACTACAGGGATAGAAAAAGGTTAGTGAATGTCACTATTTACGGCTTAGATTGAGGAGTGACTAATATTCAAGGAAGTATTAGAATATAACTATGATTACATTTGTTCTAAACATGGAGGGATTAATAAATATGCATATGAAAGGAGAATAATTCCCTATTCTTCCATCAAATTAATATTCTGGCTGTTTGTTATTATTAAATATATAACAGTGGTACTGTTTTTCTGTCCTACCATCATATATTTTGCTTATGCGTTACTAAGTTGACCAATTAAGAAGAATGTTTTGTGTTTTTATATCACAGTGAATCATGAGTGTTTGACACTCATAGTTAAGATAATAAAGTGCATACCCACATCTATTATGATATTCATTCTCTGAAGTGTGGTCAAGCTACTCTTCTCATGTATCTCCTTCTCTGGCATCAACTGAAGCAGCACCAAGGGAAGATGTTTAGCAAATTTTCCATGCAAAATTTGCTTTGTCAATCAAGCATCGTCATATGTGCTGTTTTTATTTTGTTCCAATTTTTTTTTATTATTTGAATTCTTACTTCACTTTCCTATGGTCAAAAACTAAAAGAATTATATTTACTCAATACACCTTCAGGCTTACTTAGCTTGATATACTTTCATCGCAACGATGAAACCCAACTGCAAAGAAATTTCTGCTTTTTATCCTTCAGTAGTCCACCTACTTGTTGTTGTGGATCTCTTTATTGGCTCAGAAGTGATACAAAGAGATTAGATGCTATACTCTTGAAAGGTCACGATTAGCTTCTAATTCTTCTCTAGATGACCAAAGAAAAGATTAAGGGAGTAGTTAAAAACCGATTCTTTCTTTTCCATCCCAGTACCCTAAATTACGAGGATTAATGGTATTCTCACTAAACGGTCTCCAGTGTACACTCGAAACTTCATACCAATTAATGGTTGAGATGTTCAATTAGTTGAGCATGCCTAACTTGTTTGAATTTTCTTTTTAGGGTTTCCCTATATGCATTGTGAATGTGAAAATAAATTTTATTTCTTAAGGGCAACTGCTGCATATTTCAAGTATTGATCATGATGCTCCAACTATGGGACAGGAATACCTCATGTGCGTCTAGAATCTGGAAGAAAAATCATAACCTTTACATTAATGAATGAAACATACTATCTCATGTAGACATTCAAAACTAATATCTGATGTTCCTAGAGTCAGACTAAATCCATTAAGTAACAAGAAATCTAACACTACCTTAGTTCTTCTGCATGCTGAAAATACTGCAGGCATTTCAAGTTTTACATCAAATCCAAAGCTTACCAAATAGACAGAATGTTAGCATTCTTACCAAGTAGAATGAATTTAAACCATTTTAGATCAAATCCAATGCTTTCATTTGTAGCCTGTGGCCTCAATCTCCCCTTTGTAGAAATTTTTATCTTATCAGTGTCAATCTGAACATGCAACACCAATCTCAAGTATGTTAACCAAGAATTCCATCTCTTCTTTCTTGATACTGCCCCAGTATTCTTGAAAAGTTGTTTTCTCTAGAATCTCCATAACTTTCTCTAGCAATGTTGTTTCAACAAAGTCGTGGAGGCTAGAGCTTGCTTGGGTCTTCTTCCAGTGAATATCTCCAATACGAGAATCCCAAAACTGTATATATCTCCTTTAACAGAGAACTTACTACCCATGCCAATTTCTGCAACAAGAAAATTTAGCTTATAAATAAACCACTATTGTTAGAAGAAATTTCATATCATAGTTTTTGTTAACCTAGAATCATTACCTGGAGCTACATAGATAAACTAAGTTGTTAGATCTTCATCAACAATGAGACTAATATATTCTAGGTGTTTTGATGATCCTCACAAATTCAGAGTCTAACAAGGGAGCAGATTCAGGTTAGGGTCCTTTGGCACTGAGAGTCTCAAAGGGGTAATGAATAAATAAACTCAGCATCATGTTTATTTGTGTGTCTTCATCAAAAAGAGGGAAAAGGTTATATTTTTGGTTTTTTGATAATCCTCACAAATGCAGGGACCTGGTCCTCGACAGATTTCTCTCCCTTAGATGTATAATGGGGTACAATTGTAAAGTTGTCTCATAAGTCAGTGGTAGGTGAGGTGCCAACATACCGAACCAATCAGAATGGATCAGAGTGTTTGTCCAACGGGTAATAACTCTTCATGGTTGATGTTTTCAACATGACAAACACCATGTTAAAGTTATTCATCCAAAGGAGGAAGTCAACCAACAAGCCTTTTAGGAATTCTCAAATAAAGCAGCAAGGAGCCTGGTCTCGGGAAGTTTGCGAACAAGAAAAGATAGTTGTTAAAAGGATGCCAACTGATGTTGTTGGTGCACAATATCCAACTTATTTCAAACCCAAGGACCTTGTGAAAGGACCTGGTCCATGGTTTTACGTTCTCCTCACTTCTAGGTTGAAAAAAGTACAAGTGGTTGGTGCACAGTTGGACAGGGACCTCAACCAATGGTGTGGTCTCGAAGGTTGTGACTATTCTTCATTAACCTAATGTCAATAGTTATAATCTTAGTCTTTGCAACTTGAAAAATTCTCAAGAACTCTCATGGAAAAGTGAAGATTTATCCTCAAGATCAAACTCGAACCAGATAGAGCTGCAAATTTAGTGGTCTTAGGATTTATTCTTCTAAACATATATTGTAGATCTAATCCTACATCTATAAAGGACTCAGATAGTTTGTTTGTACTACAATTCTAAATTAGTTATAGGTAACTGATTTAGCGGCAGTGTTGTACTGCCTAGGAAAAATCTAAATCATAGAGTTAAGTGTTTTATTGGGCGGTGTTGTATCCGTTTAGAAAAAGTCTAAATTAACTAGGGGTAGTAGCTTACTGGGCAGTGTTGTATCTGTTAGACTCTTCAAATAATAGGTAGATTATTTGGTCATGAGATTAATAATTTTTCTCACATTGGGTGTAACAGAGTTCGCTTTTGCTTATGAAAGATTAGTGAGCAGTTGAAAATCTTGTGCAACAGGTCGTGGTTTTACTCTCTTGGAAAAGGATGTTTCCACGTAAACTGTTTGTGTTGTGTTCTCCTTATTGTTTACTCTTCTGCACTGTTCTTGCTGTGTCAAGGGACCTAGTCTATTTACTGATAGTGGACGTCTATATTCTATCAGAGTCTCACCGAACCAGATCACTCCATGAACTGTGAGATCTTCATCAAGAAGAATGTTCTGTGGTTTTATATCACAGTGAATCATGGGTGTTCGGCACTCATGGTAAAGATAATGAAGTGCAGAGGCCACATATTTATGATACTCATTCTCTCAAGTATCATGCTTGAGGGAAGTACATGTTTCTTCCACGTCTTTTGATAAATACAAGATTGTAATTGCAACTTCTGAATCCCACCACAAAACTAGGAGTTCCGGTTTAAACCATCTGCACTCAAATTTGAAAATACTCCGGTGACAAGAACCTCACCATCTAGATTGTTGACAGATAAGTTCAAGAAGAGTAAGGAAGTAAGACTTGCAATGAAGTGAGGAATTGGCCCTGATAGTTTATGTTGGGAAAGATCCACGGATTGGAGATCCGGCAGATCTTTTAAATTGGGAATGGTCGCTTGAAGGTAGTTTCCCTTCAAATAGATCTCCCCCAAAGCCAGGCATTTTCCAAGAGTTTGTGGAATCTTCGCCGATATATTGTTATGAGAAAAATAAAGATAAGTAAGATGACCCCAGTTACCAATATATACTGGTGATGTACCAGTCAAAGAGTTATAAGATGCATATATATATGTGAGGGATGAGAGAGCAAAAAGTTGTTGTGGTATAGTTCCTGTTAGGCTTTTTTCAGAAATACCCAATTTTTAGCAGTTGGCTACAGTTTCCACTAATTTTGTTTACATAGTAGAGTAGGCATGGTAACTAACTAGAAAAGTTAACTATTAAATGAGGTAATGTACCTACAACCTGGTTGTCTCCAAAATGGAGCATTTGTAGACTGTTGGCAGTTGGTAAGAGAATTTACAAAGTCAAGGTCATCATGCTTACTGTATCCAAGTTGGTTACTCCAAACGTTGAGCCACAACAAATTCCGCAAGTTACCAAAACCCTTGGGTTTATTTCAAGTGAAATCGTTTACAATAAAATCAAGATCTAGCAATTTTGAAGCATTTGTGCAAAGAGGACGGTATGAAACAAATGAATTGACATTTCACCAAGTAATGTATTTGGAAATTAGGGAAGTAGTTGCCTAAATCGGATCTAAGATTACCAGGGATAACAAATTGTACCATGGAGACAATCCAAGAAGCCTCAACTTGATCAATCAAGCTGAAGAAGTTGGGACTTTCCTTCTAGATTGTTGTACAATGAATACAACTCTTCTAAAGAAGTAAGATTTTCAATAGAACCTAAAAAGTTTCATGTCAGGTTGTTATTTCTGAGATACAGTTTCACTAACTTCATTAAAATTACAAATTGGTTAGGAATTATCCCTAGAAGAGCGTTGTGTTCCAGGAAAAGGCTCTTGACGTTAACACAATATGATAGATTAACTGGAATTTCACCTGTTAGATAGTTGGAACTCAAATTCAAGTTTTGAAGCCTTGACAGCCTGCTGAGTTGTTGAGGAATTTTTTTATGGAAGGCATTTTCTGCAAAGAGAGGCTTCTAAGATGACCTGAGATTGTACCTGCCAGCCTCTGCCCTTTGAGATTCAAACGAATGACTCTTTCGTGTCTCAGTACACTGACAGAAATGAATAGAATAATTCCAAGAGACAAAAACTCTGAATAGATCCTCAGTTATTTGGGACTTGAATCCAAGTAAGTCAAGTTTATCAGTTTCATTGCCAAGAAAAGCAGCAGATGCAGCCTGCTAATGGCGTATCAGCAAAAAATGATTTTGTTAACATGAGATTGATTCTGACTTTGGTTTTTGATCCACCTAATCTTTTCTTTATAATATGGATTAACAATTATTATAAACTTATCTTTTTCTTAATCAAGGGCTAGGCTTACTAACTGAATAAAATTCCCTTTCTTGGTCTTCTTTAGTCACATTAGTGTGGATGCCGGATGGATCCTTTAGTCTCCTGAACTTGACAATCCTCCCACAACTAACAGAACACAATTTGTGTAAGCATTTATTGCAAAATTTGTATTGTTTTAGTAGTTCCAGGGATGACAAATGGTACAACGAAGGAGGGAACTCCCCGGATAAGTTATTTACTGACAATCCAAGAAGCCTCAACTTGGTCAATCGAGCTAAAAAAGCTGGCACTTTTCCCTCTAGATTGTTGTACGATAAATCCTCGAAAGATGTAAGATTTCCAATAGAACCTGAAAAGAGTCTTGCCTTGTTGTTATTTTTGAGATGTCGTTTCACTAACTTTGTTAAAGGTCCAATTTGGTAAGGAATTTGCCCCACAAGAGTGTTGTATTCCAGGACAAGGCTTTTGAGCTTAACTCAATGCAATAGATTAATTGGAATTTCCCCTGTTAGATAGTTGAAACTCAAATTCTGGTTTGAAGCCTTGACAGCCTGCTTAGTTGTTGAGGAAGGCATTTTCTGCAAAGAAAGGTTTCCAAGATGACCTGAGATCCTACCTGCCAGCCTCAGCCCTTTGAGATTCAAATGGCCAAGAGATGAAACTCCTGATAGATCATCAGTTATTTGGGACTTGAATCCAAGTAAGGCAAGTTTGTCCATTTTATTGCCAAAAACGCAGCTGATGTAGCATGTTGGAGAGAAAATGAGAAGATAAACACAAGAAACACAGAAATAACAAGAACCAAAAGATGATACCTCTCAGAAATATTGATTTTGGTATTGGAGCATCACATTGTGGTATGAAATGCACAATTATATAACAAGCTTCCAATGACATTGACAAAAACATATTTTGTTAGCAACTTTCTTCAAGATTGATTCTGATTTTGGTGCTTGATCCACCTAATCTTTTCTTTTAAATATACTCTATAACATGATCCTTTTTATGACGTGAAATCCAACTAATAAGCAATACTTTCAACTCTATGTCCTTTAGTCCACCTGTTTATTGGTGTCATTATTGGCTCATAACTAATAGTAGTGTTCTAGCATTTGATACAAAGAAAGAAGAAGCTATACTAATTGATCATCCTGCATTTGTTGATCTTCATGCGCCATCACTATCCATATATCACGACCATTCAAAATTCACCATAGAGGCAAACACAATGATCAACAAACTCAAAACAGTCAATCAGTATACTATCTATTCTCTTTGTATCAAAAGGTAGAAACTGTCACTTATGTAACAATATATAAAAAATTACACAATTAATAAGTGGACTACCAAAGACCAAATAATTAAAAGTATCCCCAATCAGTTGGATTTCAGGCCATAAATTAGATCGCTCTTATGAAAGTACGTGAAATTTGTAGAAATAGTAGAAATTTTCAACCAGATTACTTATGGTTACCAATTTGTATTGATTTGTATTAGGGTAATCAACCACTAGGCCTATTTTTTCTAACTCGTTTCTTGGAGCATTCGGATATGGAATCAATGGACACTTTCCAGTTAAGGGATTGGAAACACAGTAGCACCTAATCTCTAAAACTCAAAAGAGAATCAATTACATGAGCCTAAAATCTCTACGCCAAAAACCATAACGTCGTCACTGATTCAGTGAGAGGGTTAAAGGAGATTTTTGGAATTGTCTGATTAATCTCCCATCGTGTACTAAATAGAAGAGTTGTGTAAAAGTGAATTTTTGGCATTGGAACAATGCTTTGGAAAATTTAGGATGAGATATCCTACTATAGAAATTCTTCGATAGAAGCATACATTGAACAACAAAGGTAGGATATTTCATCCTGAAATTTCCAAGAATTTCAATGGCAGGATATCTCATCCTGAAATTTCCTAAACATTGTTCCAACGCCAAAAGGTCACTTCTATGCAACTCATCTATTTAGTACATGATGGGAGATTAATCAGACAATTCCCAAAAATCTCCTTTAATCCTATCACTCAATTTGTGACGACATTATGTTTTGACATAGAGATTGTGGGCTCATGTAATGGTTTGATTCTTTTTGAGTTTGAGAGAATAAGGTGTTAGTATGTTTTCAACCCCTTAAATGGAGATCGTCAATTGATTCCATATCCGAATGCTCCTAGAAATGAGTTAGTAAAAAAAGGCCTAGTGGTTGATTACCCTAATGTAGATCAATACAAATTGGTAACCAAAAGTAACCTGGTTGAAAATTCCAACTTGTTATACAAATTTCACTTGCTTTCATCAAAGCGATTTGGTTTGTGGAATCCAGAAGGAAAATCACAACCTTTTTGGAACATTGTCACCATGACCATTTAATCCTGCCTTTATGATCCCTTTAAAAGTCTGATAGAATTTTTCAGATTTTTAAGTTTAAATCTAAAAGTGATAAGTTTAGAACCCTATGGTTGACGATAATTATTTTATTTATATGTAATGGAAAATGGTTTATCCCGCTATGATAAATTCTATTACATCCTTCGTTAAGACATATAGTCTTTTCTTGTTAGACCCCTGATCTAAGTCACTCAGCTAAATGGCAGCATAGACAAAGTTTTTAAAGCATGTTGACCTTGTCACTTGCATAAGCCAACGAAACAAACAGGCAAGGCTAAGTTGGCGACGGACTGTTGAATAAGCTAAGGTGTGCACAATGGCACCAAGGCCTGATTCCATAGTGGCAAGTGAGGACCAAGGACTTAAGGGAAAGGAAACTTGGTGAGGACTTGACAAGATAAAGGCTAAACAATGTCATGTGAGCATGGCATTGATATTCAAATAAAGCACAAGTACAAACGACAAGCAAAGCTAAGGCAACAATGCGAAGATCAACAGTGTTCTCAGTAACCCACCAACGTGCACTCGAACCTACCTACCGATTAATGGTGGAGATGTTCAACCACTTGATCATGCCTAACTTGTTTGAAGTTTCGTTTCCGGGGTTACCTATATGAATTTTTATGTGGATATAAAATTTATTTTTGGGGCAGCTGCTGCATTTTTCAAGTATTGATCATGATGCTCCAACTTTGGGACAAGAATACCTAACTTGTGTCTAGAACACAACCTTTTAGGAACATTCTTACCATGACCATTTGATCTTGCCTTATTATCCCCTAAAATATCTGATTCTTTACATTCATGAATGAAACGTATTATCTGATGTAGACATTAAGAACTAATATCTGATGTTCCTAGACTAAATCCATTAAGTAACAAGAAATCTTACACCACCTTAGTTCTTCTGCATGCTGAAAACACTACAGGCATTTCAATTTTTACATCAAATCCAAAGCTTACCAAAGAGACAGAGCGTTATCATTCTTACCAAGTAGACAGAATTCAAACCATCTTAGATCAAATCCAATGCTTTCATCTGTAACCGGTGGCCTCAATCTCCTCTTTGTAGAAATCTTTCTCTAGTTAGTGTCGACTTACTGTGAACTTGTGTCACAATCAATCTGTCTCTTGGGGATTCAGCTGAACATGCAAAGTCAATCTCAAGTATGCTAACCAAGCATTCCATCTCTTCTTTCTTGATACTGCCCCAGTATTCTTTGTTGTTGGTTGCTTTACTCATCTCACCAGTTGTTTTGTCTAGAATATCCTTAACTTTTTGAGAAAGTGGTGGGGACTACAACTTGCTTGGAAAAAGTGTATATGGGTGTTCTTTCAGTGAATATCACCAATATAAGAATCCCAAAACTGTACATATCTCCTAAAACGGAGACCTTACTACCATGTCATATTCTACAACAAGAAAATTTAGCTAATAAATAAATGACTATTGTTAGAAGAAATTTCATATCACAATTTTTGTTAACCTAGAAACATTACGTAGAGCTGCATAGCTAAACACAAGGTCATAAATGCAGCTCTTGAATCCCATCACAAAGCTCGGAGTTCCGGTCTAATACATTTGTACTCAATTTTTAAAATATTCTAGGGAAGTACAAGCTTTTTCCACTAATTCTGTTTTTGTAGTGGATTAGGCACTGTAACTGACTAGAAAGGTTGACGGTTGAATGAGAAAATGTACCTACATTTGGTTGTCTCCAAAATGGAGCATTTGTAGACTGCTGGTAGTTGGTAAGAGAATTGACAAAGTCAAGGTCATCATGCTTACCGTATCCAAGTTGGTTACTCCAAACGTTGAGCCACAACAAATTCCACAAGCTACCAAAACCCTTGGGCATATTTCGAGTGAAATTGTTTACAGGAAAATCAAGTTCTAGCAATTTTGAAGCATTGGCCAAAGAGGACGGTTTGGAACCAATGAATTGACATTTCACCAAGTAAAGTATTTGGAAATTAGGGAAGTAGTTGCCTAAATTGGATTTGAGATTACTAGGGATGACAAATCGTACAACGGAGGAGGGAACTCCCAAGATAAGCTATTTACTTACAATCCAAGAAGCCTCGACTTGTTCAATCGAGCTAAATAAGCTTGCACTTGTCCCTCTAGATTGTTGTATGATAAATACAACTCTTCTAAAGATGTAAGATTTACAATAGAATCTGGAAAGTGTCCTGTCAGGTTGTTATTTTTGAGATACAGTTTCACTAACTTTGTTAAAGATACAACTTGGTTAGCGATTTTCCCCAGAAGAGTGTTGTTTTCCAGAAAGGCTCTTGAGGTTAACTTAATGTGATAGATTAACTGGAATTTCACCTGTTAGATAGTTGAAACTCAAAATTCAAGTTTTGAAGCCTTGACAGCCTGCTAAGTTGTTGATGAATTTTTTTATGGAAGAAATTTTCTGCAAAGAGAGGGTTCCAAGATGATCTAAGATTGTACCTTCCTGCCTCAGTCCTTTGAGATTCAAAGGATGACTCATCCATGTCTCAGGCCACATTTTACTCTAGTCCACTGACCGAAATGAACAGAATAATTCCAAGAGACGAGAACTCTCGATATATCCTCAGTTATTTGGGACTTGAATCCAAGTAAGGCAAGTTTGTCAGTTTCATTGCCAAGAAAAACAGCTTATGCAGCATGTTTGAGAGAAAAAGAGAAAAGAAACACAACATGGAAAGCCAGAAAGGCGTGAAGTTAAAACTCGCTACGAAAACATCCATTCTAGAAAATGTCAAGAATCAAAAGATATATCTCTCAGAAATGTTGATTTGGTACTGGGGCACCTCTGTGTGGTATAAGATGCACAATTATAAAACAAGATGCCAATGACATTATTGCAATGAATGTATATCTTTTTCATTTAAGCAAAGCTGAAATATACACAAATAATATTCAAGAAACTCTCAGCTAGTATATTCAGTTAAAACATACACAAATAATATACTAGCAAAGAGTTTCTGCATCCACTTATATATATTGGGAATTAAGAAAACTAAACAACAATCATCCAACGAAAGAATTATTAAAGCATTGAATAATTTGATGCATACTATATATCTAGTACTGTCCAATTCATTCTGTTGTTTACATCCTCTCAGTCCATATTCCCCATGCAAATTTGTTGTATCCGCGACCTCATCAGCTTGTTCATCACATACCTCATTGATGATCCAGTCTCGCTGGCTGTGTGTATATTTGATATCAGTTCCTAGTGGCATAGCGTTGATAATTCCAACAACATCTTAATCCTCTAAGGCATGATTCTTTTTATGATGTGAAATCCAACTGATTAGCAATACTTTCAG